GAACCAAGATACACTAGGGAACCATTATCGTTCATTTAGTATGGTTATGAGAGCGGGTCAGACCTATGCTTTAGGAAAAGCATTTTGGTAATTCTGTGGCAAGTGGATTGGAGAGCTGAGCTCTTGAGACCAGGAGACCAAATAGGAGGCTGATGGAGTAGTCTAGGTGAGAGGATATGAGGGCTTAAACTAGGGTGTTGAATAGAGAGAAAAGGAATTATAGGAGCTGGATTTTGTTGGAAGGATAGACCAGATTTGGAAGCTTAATGGATGTGTAGGAAAGGGAGTTAGGAGTCAAGGTGCTGAGGTTCTGAACCTGAGTGGGTAGAAGGATGGTGTGGTGTTCTTTATAGACATTAGGAAGTTGGGAAGAAGGGCTGGGAACGGTGAGCTGGTGAAGTCACCAAGTGGGAATGTAGAGGTGAGAAAAGGGCCCAAGGTAAAGACTTGAGATTGACTTACTGGTACGAGTGGTGTGGTGATAACTCAGCAAGGGAGCTTGAGGAGGAGCAGTCTGTCTGGCAGGAACAAAACCAGGAGAGAGTAATGGCATGAAAACCCAGAGGAGAGAGAGCATCTAGGAAGGGAGAGCTGTCAACAGTGTTAAATGCTGCAGTCAGTGAACGTGTATTGAGTACCTGCCAGGCTGAGGACAAAAATGGGAAAAAAGAGCGAGAATCCCTGCCCTCAAGGAATGTATAGTCTAATGGGGAAAGATAACATAAAAGAAAACTGAAGAGCTGAAAGGAGGGGTGCTAAGGGGAAGGGAAAGATGGGGCACACAATTGAGAAATCAGAGGAGTCCAGATGGATTGCAGCTAGGTAGGAAATGAGGTTATGGCTGCCCTGAGCCCCCCTTTTTAAATGGAAGTTTTTGGAGTTTATAGCTCCACCCTCCAATCAGAGGGGGCAGAAGGCACTGACGTGAGCTGTGAGTATCAGGACTGATTGGATTTTGGCAAGGTGATGAGGTTCCTGATGACATGGTAGAAAAGTCCCAAAGAAATGCAGCCCATTGGGACATGGCTGTCCTAGGACCCTTCCTTAAGTGGAGGTTTTGAAGTTCATGGCTCTGCCCTCCAATTTGAGAGGCAGAGGGCAATGATGAGGTGTGAGTACCACGGCTGAGTGGATCAATCCTTGTATAAAGATGAGAATTGAGAAGTAGCCATCAGATTTGGCATTTAAGAGATTGTTAGTAACTTTTGGAGAAAGTCTTTTCAATTGATAAGGTCAATAGTCAGATTGCAAAGAGAAGTGAGGGGAGAGGATGTACAAACAACAAGTGTAGACTACTTTTTCTAGGTGTCTTGCTGTGAAATGGATGAGCTATAGGATGATAGATTGAAAGGATGGATGGTAGGGTCATAAACCATATTTTAGGATTGAGGAGACTTGAATGTGTTTTGTAGGCAGCATGGAAGAAACCAGTAGATAGGGAGTGGTAGAAGATGGGGGGCATGGGACATAGGGCAGTCTATAGAAGACTAGAGGGGATATAAAATTATGAGTAGGTGTAGAAAGGTTGGCTCTCTGTCCCAAACTGGAGTGAAAGGAGCAGAGACTGGGGGATGATAAGGGAACTGAAGATAATAGAGAAGGGGAAATGCAGGAGCTCTGGGCATATGGACAATTTTCTTTTAAAGCATGAGGTGTGGTGCTCAGCTGACAAGATGGAGGGAGCACATGGGGTGGGAGGATAGAAAAGAGAAGATAAAGTTCAGCTTCTGAGCAGGAGGACAAAGAATCAGGGAAGAAGAAAAGGATTTCCTTGCTTTGTTGAGAGCCCGGTTGGTATTCGGTTACATACATTTTTTTTTACTTTTTTTTTCTTTTTTAGGCAATTGGGGTTAAGTGACTTGCCCAGGGTCACACAGCTAGTAAGTGTCAAGTGTTTGGTCTGAGGCCAGATTTGAACTCAGGTCCTCCTGACTTCAAGGCCGGTGTTCTATCCACTGCACCACCTAGCTGCCCTGATCACATACATTTTTAGTGGACCCAGATAATTTGAATATGTGAATCCTGGATCAGGTAGGATTGGGGTTTGGCAGGGCATGAGTGATGATATGACAAGGAGGCAAGGAATTAAAAAATAGAGGACAGTGTAAAACTGATTAACTAAAGGGTCAAGATTGGGAAATGCAGAGGGTTAAAGGATTGGAGGCCACAAGTGTGGGTTAAGGCATCATTTGGAAAGCTGGAGATAAAAGGTTTTGATTAGATAAAGGGTTATTGGCATTTTTTAAATTTTTTTGTTTGTTTTTGTCATGGAACGCTCATGAGTGTTGTTACTTGTGAGCATTTCTGTGTGTGTTTGAAATTGACTAGAAGAGTTAGGTCATGGGAGCTGAGGCTGAAGAATTGGAAGGTTAGAGTGTTTGAGGAAACATCAGCACGTGTGTGGAAGTCCCCATAATAGAAGGGCAGGAATACTGACTGAACTTGAGAAAGAAGAGAGGCCGGAGGGTCAATAGACAAATAACTGCTCCTAGGACCTGATTTGAGTGAACAGTAAAGGAGGAGAAGTGGCCAAGTGATGGCAGCAAAAGGAAAGTCCAGGAACTGAGGATCTAAAACGAAACATGATTCTCAATGTTCTGAACTGACTCTAGGTGGTTCAAGTGATGGTTCTTTTTCTAAACAATTTGTAGGACCTCTGAAAACCCCATAAGAGTCAAGTCCTGATATTGTCCATGGCCTGTTTTGACCTGTTTTATAAAACTTTTCTGAAATGCTGTGTAGTACTAAGTAATCCCTGGTCTGTGTTGATATGCTCCTCCTCTGTGAAAAAGAACAGATTGTTTCATCATAATGAATTCTAAAATACATAAAGCCCTTTAAAAAAAAGTATTCTCGTCAATTATAACTACTTTAGTTTTTTTAATTAGCTTCTTATTTATTCTTTTTTGGACAATGTCTTTTTTTTTTAAAGGCAATTGTGGTTAAATGACTTGCTCAGGGGCACACAGCTAGTAAGTGTCAAGTGTTTGGTCTGAGGCCAGATTTGAACTCAGGTCCTCCTGACTCCAGGGCCAGTGCTGCCCTATCCACTGTGCCACCTAGCTGCCCCAATATTAAATAAAAGTATTCCAGTGCCATCCGCTGTAGTACAGGTGAAGGTGCTTCCTTCTGCTAAGGTCCAAGATATTACTGGCTATTGAGCAGTGAGCTCTTTCCTCATGTTCTTTCTCCTGCTCATTTCCCCTTCTCTGCATCTTCACTTCCCTTATCATCCTCCAGTCTCTGTTCCTTTCACTCTGGTTTCCAGTAGAGAGCCCACCCAAAGCTTGCTCTCCTTAGCCTTCTCTGGGATCCTTCTGGAAGTATTCTGTGAAATGATGACTCTGAGATATCCCCTTCCAAGTTTTCCTTCCATGCCTTTTATGGTGTCAGCCATTGTGTAGATTAGGTCTTATACCAAGGATCATACTTGAGAATTGGCCGTGCCTCATTCCCTAGTAGACGTCTGTGCAGTCTCACCATTACTGAGGCTCTGATACCATTTTATCACCTCTGGAGAAACTCGGATTGCTGAACTGTAACTACTTTTCCAAAAACACGAAGCTACTCTACACAGTGAAGAGGAACAAATTGCCTCTCTGTGTAACTGTACAGCACTAACCCACGCCCTGTGATCTTGGTAACTACCACCTGACTAGCAACCATCCTTTTGGAGAGCACTCTGCAGGTGAGCCTGAAAATGGGCTGTGTCCTCTTGGCCAGGTTTCTAGATCTTCTCTAACAGAAAAGCTCCCTAGAGCTCAGTTGTTCCATACCTTCTGTTGGCAAATGGGGAGGCCACCTCTGAATAATATGGTGTGGTTACCCAGCTTCAGAAAACTACGGTTTACAGATAGATTGCGAAGTGTTTTGTCATCTTGTCGATTGACAATGAAGCAATATAACAGCGGATGGAGACCTGGCCTTGGAATCGGGAAGAACTGGGTTTAAGACCTGCCCTTGGCCATTGTCAAGTCCTTTAACCTCCTAGTGCCACTAGGCCTGACTATTAAATTACAGGTGAGTAGCATGTCTGCATGGACAGACACCCCACCTCCCCCTACCCCACCCTGTCCCAAAACAAAAGGGGTTCAAAATCAAGTTAACAGGTATTTTTTAAAAAATAACATATATTGGTCTTCTTATAACACTTACATCATTCTTATAATATTGGCTTCCACATTGCTGAGACAACATCTGCACTGTTCCCTGGAGTTTTATGATTGGTGTTTCTGCAACGTAGCTCTCTTGTGGGCACTTGCCGAATACCCTTTTGGACTTTTTGACCATAGCTTGTCCTTTAAATAATTCGGGGGTCTGTCTCTTTTCTCCTCTTGGCACTTGTGGGGAATCAATAGATTCCATGCCAATAGCTGGGACCTTATTTTATCCTTCTCTTTTCTCGTCCTCCTAATTGTACATTCCTTACGTTCTTTCTCAGACATTAATTCATTCACTTGTAGTTTCTCCACACCTTCGGTCCTTCCCCAGCTCCCTTCCCACGTTGCATCTGTAACTGGTATTCGCCAGTCTTTTGAGCTCTGTTCCTGCTCTGATGTCTTCTTCATGCAGCTCTCTTCTCCTCAGCTCTGGTCTCTGTCCACATCCTAATCTCTGCCACTGCCTGCAGTTGTTGCAGGCATATATACTTTCGATCCACTTTGGTACAGGCGACAGCTGTTTTGTGCTCCTCTCACAAACTTTTAAAGCTTGTATGCTAGGTAATTGGCAAGTTTACCCTGTTTACCCTGCTGGGGAAAACTAGGTTCCTCTACTAATTACTCTGGTTAGCAAGTACTTAAAATGAGTCTTGTCTCCCAAATCTAGCTCTTTTGTACCCTTGACTAACCCATGTTATCTCGAGCCTTTTGCTGAGAATTGTGGGATTTGTGGCAATCGAGGGGCTATACTTGCTGTGCTTTCAATGTGAAACTGAATTTGTTGCACATTTGGGGAAGCCTCTGGGGAAACTGACTGTGTTTTCTGCCTTCTGTTGACAGAATGGTACACGAAACTTCCAGGACTTTGACTGTCAGGTAAGGACTGTACAAGCACCAAGAGGGCTGTGTACAGGATCTTTGCAGAGCATCACCTTTTATGGTAGTGTCCAATGGAAGGGAATTTTTTGCATAGTTGCTCTTGGCTCTAACTTTCCTTTTTCAGTAAATCAAGATTTATTTAATTGACTGTCATATTAACAGATTTGCCAGCCAGGTATTCCCTTTACTGCTGTAGATGCCTGTGTTGATTTCTTTCTCTGTGATTGACATCTCCTCTCCTGAAATGATAATGGTATGTGTGCCTGAGTCACTTATAATCAGACAGGTCTCGGATATAAAGTCCTCCTTCACCGCATGGAAACAGGGAGGGGGGGTGCTTCTTGATAACAAAACCCTTTTAGCAAAAATTCAAAATATTAACTGCATTAAAGGTAAAATGCAAATGCTTTCCCTACTTGTTGTTTAGAAATTGGAAGTAAATCCCCTACTCTTCCCCTTTATTATTTTCCTATACAGTGTTTTCTGTTTTTTTTGTTTGTGGCTGTATTACCAGCTTAAGATTTATTTTAGGTATCAGTCAGCAAACCTCCCTTTATACCACCTAAACTTGTTGAGATAATATTTGTAAAGCACTTAGGACAATCCTGGTACGTAGTAGAAACTTCATAAATGCTTGTTCCCTTCCTACTCTGTGGATATTCTAGTCCCTGTGGAAGAATAGGGAAAGAAGTAGTGGGTATATAACTGCAGAACTATCCTGGGACCACTTGTATTGGTGGTATGCCATGACAGCAGCCTTTGAAAGGAGGCCATGTGGAAAGCACAAGTGGCAGGCAAGAGCCTATTAGACATTCCTGAGTCTGCATGGTTACAGAGCACACTGAGAAACCCACTCCCCTGATGCCAGGCCTCAGAACAAGTAGTTATTTTCAAGGCTGCTTTTTTTAGTATTGAATATAATCAGATCTGTCTATCATTCTAATATTAGAAGAAAGAACTAACACTATAGGCAAAGTGTGCTTTGCCACATTGTTTGTAGAATGAAGTTTGAGGGCACAGTTTAGTCCATTCTATCCAGATCCAAACTGTGGTGAAGTGCTCTGCTCTTCATATAGATTAGGGTCTAGGACAGATGGCCCAGAAAGGTGCTTTGTTGCCTTGAAAATGGCATTATTATTAGGTCATTGGATTGCTGAATCCAAGACCAACCTAGTAGCTCAGGGAACCTGGGAGACTGTCCTTCTGCTCTAAAATTCACCTCCTGGCCCACAGGGTCTACAGCACTCTGATGTGGGCAGAGAGTTTCCTGTAGATGAAGGCTTGCTGACCCAGATGCAGGAAATTAGATAATTGATTATTTGGATAAAGTCTTTATTCAGGTTTAGTTGTTGAATTTGATTTAACCTTAGTAGTAGTTTTAGGCACCGGAATGAGCTGGTAAAAAGTGATTTGTTGATTTGCCAAGTTAAATAGAGATGTCATCTGTTGGGGAAAAGATCACATTAAACTTCATAATGATGGACCTTATGAAACCAGAAAAATATCTCGAGAAGGTTTTCCCCGAAACTATTTGTTCTACATAGAATGTGGGCAGTGTATTGGGAGGCATGAAATGATTTTATAAAATTGAATTTTAGAAATAAAAGCATGGAACAATTGTTTAAATTGAATTTTAGGAGAATTTTTAGCAAAAACATCTTAATATTCAATGAGTTTGAAGACATTAGCATGTTCTAAGCACCACGGACCACAATTTCTTGGCCCAGTTCAGATGGAGTAAAAAAAAAAAAAAATTATAGAATTGGCTTGCACATTAACCTGTGGTTTTTGTAATTGTATTTTGTAAAGCCACAACCATGGTACTGTCCTTGAAGGGCCTTTATTTTTCCACCCAGCATTCAGGGAGCCTTTATGCTTATAGTTTTTTAAAAGATTTTTCTCTTTGGATATTTCACTGGAATCCTTGTGTGTTTCTCCGTTGAGAACATTGGGAGAAGTCCTGAGGAAACCTAGAATGGTTATCAGTGAATGATTGGCTTCACCTTTTCTGAAGAATGCCTCAAAAAGCTTACAAAAAGATGTTTTCCTACTTTTTTGATATTCCTGAGGGAGATATAAGCCATTCAATCCGAAGTCAGTGTTGCAAACAAATGAGAAAGATGTGTCAGTCGGCATTTGAGTTGATACAGTCCCAAGGGCTATGTTTGCAAGAAAGAAGCTTGGATCGTTACATCAGGGCATCCTTCCACAGCTGTGCTGAGAAACCCCCCCACCTCCCTCCGCCCCAAGATTCTACTTTACTTGACTGAGCCTCAACTCAGTTGGGAATTTCAGTTCTAAATTTTTTTTCTTTGTAAACATAAAAAAAAAATTGGGCTTCTCCCCCTTTGTATCTCCCATGTAATTGAAAGATTTAATTAAAACAGCCCCATATCTCTTGGTTTTTTTGATTTTCCTGAATGAATTAATCTTAAATGATTTCTCCGAAGTGAACAGTTGTTATAATTGGGATCTGGGTGTAAGGGCAGTGAATGGAGGTGACATTCTTAAAGGTGGATGCAAGGAAAAAGGAATTTGCTGCCCAAAGGATCTAAAATCACCAGTCTTCATTCATGACTGTTAAATTACATAATTCCACACCAAATGTGAGGTGGAGACCTGATTAACCCTATTTCCCCCTTTAATATAGTGGCCATTGATTGGCTTTTGCATCAGAGATGGCAGGCAAGCAAACATTGGATTATTAAAGGTTTTTCCTAGACTATATGCAGGAATATATATTCCAGAAGAATATATATATTATCCAGAGAATATAAAATGGCTGTAGTGCTTCTGCTGTGTATCTGGAGGGCACTCAATAGTAAATATTTATTTATAATGATCAGGTTGTGTGTAACCCTTGTTGTTGTTCTGTGATTTCAGTCATATCCAACACTTCATGACCCCATTTGGGGTTTTATTAGCAAAGATACTGGATTGGTTTGCCATTTCCTTCTCTAGCTCATTTTACAGATGCAGAAACTGAGGCAAATAGGGTTAAGTGACTTGCCCACAGTCACACATCTATTAAGTGTCTGAGGCAAATTTGAACTAAGGTCTTCCTGATTCCAGGCCTAGTGCTCTATTTACTAAGCCAGCTCGTTGCCTTCTCGCCCTTACAGTACTTGAAACCAACACCCACTCCATTTGTGGAATGATCGAAGAAAACAGCAATAATGCATTGGGCCAGTCTGCCAGAGAATTTGTGCCTGATATTCATTATTCCCAGGGGAATATGACCATGGCAAAATAATGGAGTAATTTGTTGCATACTGTTTAAGAACTCACTGAGAGAAGCCAAGTACGTACTAAATAAATTATAGTCTGCAGCTCAGAATTGTTATGTATGCATCTTCTTTCACATGTACTTAAATGGCTTTAAAACGTGTGAAAAATGCTTTCCAGATCAGCTAAGCAGCATGTTCTAAAGTGAAGGCTCTAAAGCTGAACACTCCAAATCCTTCATGGAGGGGCCCAACAAGGGCTGAGATGTCCAGAGAGAATAGGGATCAAACTGCAAGCTTTCTCCAACTCAGATCCTAGCACATTAGGAGATGAATTCTGGGGCCCCACCCTAAGGGAACTTAGTAATGTGGTTATACCTTTAACCCCAAGATATTCTTAGAAAATTTTGCTAACTGATGGGAGCTAAAAAACTTAAGTGATTTCTGATTGAAGCATTTGGATATGAGCCTTCATTTCCTCTGGCCTCCCAAGGATGTACTGCTACATTTCTCTCTCTGGGTCTGTAGAGCTTCAGCTCATGAAAGACCTTCTCATGCCTGTGACCTTTGTCTTAGACCTCGTCAATTAACATAAAGCATATTCACTGTCAATTTGTAAAGACTGATTTTTGCCCTTTGGTGGAGCATTTTATCTTCACTTAAAATGCTAAACTAGTATTTAAGCCGGTCTCTGTAAGGGCAGAGCCACCTGTTCTTGATGGCAGGTGCATCATTCCTTGCTATCTGGATGCTTCAGCTGCCATCTTAGCCCTTTCTAGCATCTAGAAGCAGCTCCCCATCTCTAAAGCCATTGCATCATAAGGCAGTTGTCTCATCTGGAATTCCTGGAAAAGCCCTAGGGCACTTGGGCATGGTACAGTGGAAGGAATGCTGAATTTAGAGGTCAAGAGCATAAATTCAAATTTTGCCTGTGTCACTTACTCATGAACACATTGCAGCACACCTCATTGGGCTGTGCAATCAGGAAATTTAAAAAAAATTTTTTTAATGGCGAACTTGAAAACTCAGGAGGGAAATCTGAATTTGCTGATTCCATTCTACCTTTTGAGGAATTTTCCTTACAGTGGCTTATATTCTAAAGGAGACAGAGTGACCTCACAAAAATTGTTCTTTTTATTGTCCTGTGTTCTTTATTAATTTTGGTGGAATTATTTTTGGACTAAGCTGAGAAGTCACCTTGTCCCCTTCATAATTAGGTTAAAGTTATGTGAGGAGGAGGAGGAGGAAGAAAGAGAGGGGAGGAAAGTATTTTGGGTGTATGTGAAGTGGGAAATGATTGTAAGCATAGTGTATGTTGTATGGAAGATGATGTGGGAGGTCTATTAGGAGTAAGAGAACTCATTGAGGGAGTTTGGGAGAACATCAGTTCAGATTAAAAGAAATGAGCAGGAACAAAAAGCAATATAAAAATTTAGATGGTGGATAAGACTCAAAGTCAAGACCAGGAAGGTTGGATTGAAACTAGGTATGGAAAATCACTATAGACCTTTAAAGAAGGAAATGAATAATGTACTCAAACAACAAATAAGGGAGATGATTTTCACATTGTTCAAATTGTTATATTACAGCAGAAATCCCTGCATAACAATAAAAAAAACTTCTGAATTTCAATCAGACAGTGTTCAATAGAACACCGTTTCAGTAGTGAGAAAAAAAAAGTGGAGGTGGTTCATTGGATCTACTAAAATGTAAGCTCCTTGAGGACAAGGACTTTGTCTTAGCCAGACTTTGCATCTCCTCCACCACCTAGCACAGTGGTCTGAGGCAAGCTATTTAATAAATGTTTATTGATCGATTTATTATTCCTTATAGCAAATTAGCTCAAGTTAAAGATGGATTGGTCGGGAGCTTCAAAGTGACCCAGACCTAGTTGGGAGCAAAAAGAGAACATAAGTTCCAGAGACAGATAAAATGATGGCTCTTTCTGGTATGATAGCAAAGTTGGATAGAAGGGAACCACTTGGGGAAAATTTAAGGCATTTGGTTCTTACGTTTTGGAGATGGCAAGACAACCTAGTAGAGACATCTTGGCCATCTACCATTCATTGGCCCTGGGAAGGCAGCCAAGAATAGAGGAAGTGTGTCTGGAAGCTTTTTGGTGACACAGGTAGTTAGTTGGGTGTTTTTGTTTTTTGTTTTTTTGTCTTAAAACTGAAAGTAATTAGGCTCTTAAGAAGTACCTTAACAATGGAGAGACTAGTTAACCCGAGGGTTTACAGGAAGATCTTCATCCCTACCCTCCTGGTAACTGTGCATAGGGTCACATTGTGTGACACCTGTGTGTTCTAGAACGCCTGGGAGAGGTGGTGACTGGAGAGACCACCTTCTCCAGAACAGAGAGCAGTTGATCATTTAAAAAAAAAAAAAAAGTAGTAATATTGCTCCTACAGTGATCCGACCACTAATTCTGATCATTGAGGGGGCATTCCACTCCAGATGAGCTCTCAGCCTAGCCCTTCACAGTCAGACCGACATCTCAAAAGTGTAAATCTCAAGCCACATGTTAACACAGCTCCCCCTAGTGAAGGAAGAGGTCCTAGAGATTCCGCGGATAGTAGTCGATTAGATGGCTCGGTAAGTGCCTGGTTTAATTGAAGCATGATTCACATCAGCAAATGTTTAAAGTCTCTCTCCTGGGTTCAGGACAAGCCTCGGAAGTACTGAAATAAAGAATAAAACCCTGGTGTTTTCACTCTTTGATGCATGGTATTGGCTCTTTCTTGTTTCCAGGCTTTTAAAGGACCATGAGTCACTCTTATAAAAATGTATAAGAAGCTGTTTTGAAATTATGAGTTTTATCCAGGCCATCCAGGGATGACAAAGTTGATCATTTTCTCAGTTCCCCTGGCTTAGTGTAATTTCAAAATTCTTGGTTACTTCCAGCCTGTCTCTTCTTTGAGTTCCTATACACTCCTTCTTTAGCATCTTTCTACTGAAGTTACTTCTCCATATCCAGATGTCCTTTTATCTCTAATCATCATCCTCTCCCTACTACTGAAAACCTCTTTGTTGTTCAGCTGTCTTTCCGCTCTTAAGAGTCCCTCTGTTCTCTCCTCTCCCCAAACCAGTGTTAATAGGAGAATGCAACAACTGAGAGAGAAAAGTTAAGTTATTTAATGTGAGAGAGGTTTATGCCTCGGGATATACGATTGTTGGTGAAGCCCAGTTGAACTAAAGTTCAGGAAACAGCTTGCCTCCTATGTCCCATATAAGGAAAGAAATTAGGGGTTTTAGAGAGGGTTCATTATTAGATAGGAAACTCAAGTAGCTTAGCTTTACTATTGGGTTATTTTTTTACTTGATTTTGTTTTATTGTATCAGTCACTTCCCAGGCAACAGCCCTTCTCCCACATTGAACCTTCCCCTAAAACAAAACCCTCTAAAAGAGTACGACAGGCAGCAGCAGATTGTGTGCTTCAGATCTCCCCTCATTTCTTAGATATCTCTGGCTCCTTACTAATTTATAGGAATGTTAAAACTGATGAAATTGGTGTGCCAAACTGATTATCAGATAGGATAGATTCATATGAAGTAGGTATGGCAGGCTTTTCTTTTCCAAAACTTAAAGGCTTGGGTTCCTGGGAGCAGATTACATTGAACCAGGCCCTTATGAATCCATTTGGTTTCAAAATTGCCTCCTCCTGATACTCTGATTCCATCTTGTACTCTTCTCAGCTTCCCCTCTGGCTCTGCTCGTATCCGTCACCTGTTCTACTTACTTTCCTGTTTGGTTCAAACCCCGTTAGTTTGGATCTTGCCCAACAGCTTTCTTTCCTTCCTTCGTGTGCCTACTCTAGTCTGTGTACTCTAAATCCATGATCCTACAGATGACTGCTCTTAACCAGCCTCATCATACCTCTCTCTGTCATCCAACTCACTTAACCCCCTTTACACAGCCAGCTCCTTTTGCATATTTCATAAGTCCCACGTTATCATGGGTTTTTGGTTTTTTTTTTTGCTCTAAGTGATTCATCTCTCTCCCACCACCTTTTCCTTTTTATTAGAAGGGTTTGGAAAACTGTATTCTGACAGCATTTCACATAGATACATGTATAGTACAAGGGAGTATTTCATCCCAGCTCGGGAAAAAGTGAAAATGAAGCAAAAATTGTGAGGCTTTGACATCCTGGGTGTGCACTTCAGCCTATGGTAAAACACTACCTTCTCTTGTTTCAGGAGCACGACATAGAAACAGCTCATGGCGTGGTTCACGTCACCATGCGAGGCTCACCAAAAGGGAACAGACCAGTTATTCTCACTTATCATGACATTGGCCTAAACCGTATGTATTTTGTTTTTATACTTGCCCCCTTGTCCTTTGTTATTGTCTTTTTTTTTTTTTTAAAGTCAGACTATATTCTGGGTTCAAGACCTAGAGGAGATGTTCTCCTTTCACCTTTCTGAGAAGTTAGCGAGTATATAGAATTACATTTGGATTTTGTACTTTGGGTATAAGGAAAACCACACCTGCTGATGGAATTAATAACGTTCAGTGAACTTGCTAGAACAAGAGAATAGAGATCTATCTTTGCCTTGGATCTTATTCTTGGCTCTTTATGTTTTAGAACTGACAATTCAGAATGTAAACTCTGTTATATTCTGGGTCACTATAAGCATCAAAGCCATAAAAACACTCTTACACCATCAAATCACCAATGACTTAGAAGTGAACATATTACAAATTTTTTTTTTATTTTTTTATTTTTGCTGAGGGGATCAGGGTTAAGTGACTTGCCCAGGGTCGCACAGCTAGTTAGTGTTAAGTGTCTGAGGCTGGATTTGAACTCAGGTCCTCCTGACTCCAAGGCCAGAGCTCTATTCACTGCACCACCTAGCTGCCCCAACATACTAAAAATTTGAAGGGGGTTGGTTTGCCCATTCTTGGTTATACCATGTAGTTCACACACATTACCTTTTTCCCTTCTTTGTTCCGTATACTGTGTGCCCATACTTACCTATCCATTCTTTTAGTTTATTTAGATAAACTGCTCCAATTTACTAGGCAGTCCTCTGCTTTGTTGTTTTTTGTTTTTTTTTAATATGTGGCTTATGTTTGAAGTTCCATTTCAGCACTGGATTTCCATGCACTTAAAAGGAGGATAAACCCTTATAGGAGAACTAAGTTGATCTACTGGCCAAGCACATTGCTTGTTAGCCAGATTTATAAGATGGACTAAGAAAGTGTGTGTGTGTGTGTGTGTGTGTGTGTGTGTGTGTGTGTGTGTGTGTGTGTGT